TTTTCTGTTCGTGTCATGTGGGATTCGTGGCTCGAGCGTACACCTGTGCTCAGGGGGGCAGTTGACCCCCAAAATCTCCAACTTCTATACACCGTATGGGGAAAAACAAAGATAATATTGTGCAAGTCTCGTCAAATCATGGAGAACGTACATCCAAATATTTGACTTTAGGTCAAATGTATGGTCACCACAGGTCACAAGAAGTCCAAAACAGTCGTTCTGAAAGGTGCAGTTAAAACCTATGTTTACACGCCAGGATGGGCATTGAGGGCACGGAAATAACCATTAAAACCGTGGGGAGTCTGTCCAGGCTATTTTTCTCTCCCACAATGACCAGGTCAGATCAGGTCACCGTTAAAAATTGATTTGCCACTAGCCTACAAGAACGATGTGTTTTCGCATCGTGTTTGCGACTAAGCATATGCCATTCGTGCGGCTGTGGGACAAAAATACTCTACACACAGAAAAAAACACTAGACGTCACTTCAGGCTAAGTAAGATAGAATTTATAAACCAACCGAATGGAAACATAGAGTTTTTTACCGAGCATATGTGATCAGTGCAAATTTTCTGTGGCTAGAAACAGTGTATTGTACATGTGCAGGTACCCAAGGGCGTATTGCTGTTAAGTACATAATACATGTTCCCTTCGACGCTTGACGATGTATTTGTAATAAACTGAAACCATGCACGTTCTTACATGAAGTTATACGCCATCAGCTTCACAAACACGATAAGGAGGTGGTTATATGCGTCGCACTCCTTCGTCCAGCTTCTCCGCTACTGATAACATAGACCATTCACCGTGGATAAAAAGCTGACCTGCCTGACTTCAGGTCACTGGCCTCGCCAGTTTCGAAAAATTGAAAGAAACAAACTGTAGGTATTATCACGTTACATTACAATATCAGGCTTGAATAATGGCAATTATTTTAGCAGCTGGCCTCTTTGACCCGCCCTAGGTCACTGATCTTGGTAGATAAGTTCTTCAAATACGCACAAAGGACGCCAACTTGATAGATGAACAGAGACTGCTAAATTTCGTGTCGCTGCGAGCGTTCCTGTTTGACCTGTGCTTGAAAACCGTAGTGAAAAGGAAACTTTCCCCGGCCAGGCGCGGGTTAAGTTTTGCAGCGGAAGCAGATCGCTTAGCTTGCACTGCACTGCTTTAGCAGATTTCAGTTCCTGGCAAAATCATCGATCGTTTTATTATCAATGCCGGGCTCAAAAGTTAGAGTGCTCCACATAAGGCATCCCACCTAAATCACCCATTTTGCTTCCGGCCATCACCGTTTGCATGGAGAAGCGGGCAGGGGAAGTGTAGTTAAGCGACGCAACCTGCAACCACTTGGAAGATTAAAGGTCAGACCCTCTAGCGTAGCTCTCAACCCACTGTAGTTAGACCCTTAAATGTGGGTGAAAGATTAGTTACATTGTTACGAGTACATCTTGATCACCTCTAAAGTGTCGGTTGATGAAAAAGTATCAATTTTATATTTTACCGCACCAGTTCTCGGTGGCTACCGTCTGCCTGGTCAGAGCACCGATGTATGACATCTCGTGACGTCATATGTCCGAGATATATGCATGAATGAATACAGAGCACCTCCAGCAGCGGTACTTTGAAGCTCACTTCTTTATTTTGCCTCTCCTCGATGCAATTCATCAACCGCTTCGACTTCGTGACAGCCCAGGCAGCAGCCATGGAAATCGGATTACACATTGCCAGCATACGGCTAAGAACAATGACCACGTGATGTCAAAGCCAAGGTGCCAAACCCAAACGATGGTTAGTTGCACTGAATTACCCACTGAGCCAAACAACGATTTCAAAGAAGTGCATACTGGTCGTGATGGGTAACACACATCACTTGACTCGGAAAAGTTGTACGTTAAATGGTCTGAACCAACTTGACTTGACCTAGATTTTATCCATAGTTAACGTCATAGTGGTGATCTACGTGCACGAAGACAATTTGTCGCGTGATGCTTTTCGTAAACCTCTGAAGCGTTGACTGATGCCGAGGCGGCTTCGGCGGTGAAACCTCGACGACGTTTTAGGAAGACTTTTGCATTGCCTATCATATCATAAGTAACGTTTCCAATTTTGAGTGTCACCTTGCCTAGGAAACATACCAGAGATATCAAATTTATTTCAATTTGACTAATCCAGCTGACAAACCATGGAATAGGACGGAGTCCCACCTTGCTAACTCAAGATGCATTATCCGTTGTATTACATAGCCGAGGCTGATTTATCTCCAGAAAAAGCCGACACGTCCCGTTTGAAGCCGTTCGTTGTCAGCTCGGTCCCAGCTGTGGTCACGAGCACGGCCTGCCAGCCGAGCGCCGCGCTGCTTCAGCCGCCGCAGACGTCCAGCCCAAACCTCATGGTCACCACGTGCGGGTCAGCCGGGAGCTCGGGCACACCGGAAGCGTCTGGGGGTCACCGGGCCGACCGGTGGCGCCTTGCGGAGGACATGTGTGGGAGCGGTGTCGGCAAAATGCGCTGAGACAGACCAGGCTCGCGCGAGCGCGCGCCCAACTCAGCTACGCCAATAAACAGCGGCCGATCCAAGGGTCGGACAGCTGACCACAGCCGGCATCTACTGATCTACCGGCATGGCAGCCAACGCGTCTACTGGTCTATCGGCGCGACAGGCCGGTTGGTCAACGGAAGTCCACGGTCGTTCCCAAAGCGTGACGCCCGACAGGCGGTAGTGGAGCCACTGCGTGCCCGTCCGGACGAGCCGGCGCCACAAGGGCACCCCAGCCGGGTGGCCGCGGGAAGGCGCCGCGGCCCCGCCAGCTCGCTGGAGACGGCCCTCCCCGTGCCTCTCTCCACGCAGGACAGGCGTGAACTGAGCTGTGTGCGTGACGTCACTGTGGTACCGACAATACGCACCGCAGACGTGGTCCGACCGGGCACAGACGTCGGAGAAGGCTGTGACGTGACGCCAGGCGTGACGAAATCGCTTCAAAGTTAAGGCGCTGCGAGTGCCGGCGCCGCGACAGCGGACACACCGGCGTTGTCAGGTCAAACGTTTGCAAGGTTGTGAATTCGGAGTTTTGAGCCTTGAAAACCGTAAGAATCGGAGCCGTTGGTCCTCAACTATTAAAGTTCTCCAGCACGTTTGCAAACCCGCTGACTCCAATGCGGCTAGTCTAGTGTGTCCTGCGGCATGCAGAGTGGATGCCTCTCGGAGAGTTTGTGACGTCAGCGTGCACCCCGGAGGCACTCGCTGAAGACGTGGTCGGAAGTGTTTGTCACCAGTTGACTGGCAGGCGTAGGTCATGGCGTCCTGACCGCACGCTTTACATACGTCCAACAGAGCGGTTTTAATCATCATACTACCCATGACCCTCGACGAAAACACATTTCGTCAATCATCTGTTCGCTGTTGTTTATTTAGGAACTTCTGGATATGACCCATACCCCTGTCTCCCAAAACAACAATGCTCCAGACGGCGTCTGACGTATCATCGTTAACCATGCTGGCAAGCGTACATGATCGCGGTCTGTTGCAGGGGATCCCACCAACACGATCCGTCGTGCACTTTGCACTGCTGGAAAACTATTCATTTTGGAGCTCTAGAACAACCCCTCTCGTGCTACTTTTGCTACATTGCAATGACTATGTCGATGATGAACCGTCTTGTTGATCAGAGTTGCCAGTTATTTTTTAGGACGGGAGGCGGTGCGTGTCAGCAGAGCGAAGTCGCCATATTGGCATGATCGCTGACATTGACCGGAGGTTACCGCAAATACCTGTTCCCGGAGCGGTCCCTCCGCATATTATGTATCTACAATTCTAACAAAGCACGTAAAAATTCGCTTGGCAAAAGTTAGAAACATTGCAGCGCCCTGCTTCAAACCGTTCAAAGAAATCTGCAAAAAGCTGCGGGCTGGAAACCCTTCTTTTGGCCGAAATAGATTCGAATGATTATGAAAAACAGTCCGGTGCGGCATCGTCACGGCGGTTGTCAATTTGAGCGATGCGGCTTGATTGGTACAGGCTTATCTACGTTTATAGACAAAATACCTGCATAGGCTCGCTGAGGCTCAATCAAACCCAAATCTGGAATAAGTAAAACCCACTTAGATCCACACCGTCCCAGTCAACCCCTATAAAATCCAATCAAACCAAGCAAACCAGGTTCAGGGCTCAGCCAATCAATTTATCGCATCGAACAGATCGCTAACAATCGCAATGCCGCGGGGCCCGCAGTACCTGGCTGCAGTGCGGCACAGCATCACTCACGTAAAGGCGGCCGGGGAGCCGCGCAGGCTATCTACGACGGCTCCACCAATACTAATTTTGGAACGAACCTACCGCACACGACTTAACGAACTGCGATGAAACGGACTTACCTCAAGCTGCTCACTTCCTAGCAGGTTTTGGTTTAATGCGAAAGCGTCTCTAGCTAATATGCCTGCCTTGTCACGCGAAAGCCGCGGCGAACGAGGAACACGGGTTTGTTCAGTAACTATGAGTATATATGATATTATTGGTGATAGAGCGCCGTAATGTATCTGCCCTCCCCGACAATGTCGAACTTGTTACATAAGAACATTATTAAAAGCCGAATGGATTGCGCCAAGTTTTATGAAATCTAACGCACAGGCTTTTAGTTCAGAATGGAAAGCTAATGGTATGAAGTCCAATCCATTGACTGTTCATTTGACCAGGCAAATAAACAGACTGTTTTAAGAGAATTGAATGGTTTTGGGACCTCTCCCATGATAATGTTTCCGCAATTTTGAGCTTTGTATGCCTACTAAAACTCATAACTCTGCCACCGGAATTCGTGAAAAGTCAATCGGGCGTTATCAGAGTCTGTGGGCTCAAAGACTCAACCTTATTTGCTATCCGCCCCTATAGACTTGCTAAGCAAGCAAGCAGGCACTGCTGTCCCTGCGCTTTTGCTCCACCTCCCGTCACCTGGCGCTTCCCACGTGAGTTTGACGTACATCGCCACCACCAAAAGCCAGTACTTACGCCTCTGACGGCGCCCCTGTCGCGCCAAGCCAACCACCCAGCTCTTGATCCGCTCCATGCTGACGGTGAGTAGTGGGTGCGCGTCAGTCGGGGGGCCACCGCTGCGCGTGCACGTGCCGCGAGCTGCTCCCCTTCCGTCTGATCGGCGCCGACCCGGAGCTCGCACTGCCGGACGGCGCCTCGTCGCCGCTGATTTATACCGGCGAGCGTCGGCCGCCGCCGCCGACGGCCGGCCAGCGCCGAGCGCCGCCGGCGGCGGGGCCACAGCGCGGAACGGAGCGGTTAGAGGCGCCTTTTGGCTGCGCCGGCTCACGCCTGGGCGGTACCAGTCCGAGCTGGAACAGTTGCGCAACGGCGTGGCACCAGACCCGGCTTTTATGCGAGTCTCGACCTCTGGAGGTCGGACTGCAGTACTGGGAAAGAGCCTGACTCGATCTTGGCGGAAGTAAGTAAGGTGTCGATGTGCCGCACGTCAAGTCGGCTTATCAGTTTGCGTAGGTTTTGCCGCTATTCATAGAAGCATAAGTCTGATGAGCAAATATATCACGACGGAACGTATCTTGAATCCTTGAATCAGTGAGCAGATTTCCAGGTTGTTTCCACGGCACCCAGATGGGCCCGAAAACCAAAGCATTCAACTACAAGCACCAGGCTCGGTCCGTTTAAAGATTATTTGCCAGCAGGCGTGTGGACTGAGGGACCGAAACCCGTCGGGGATCGCAGCCAAGGGTTTTACCACGACCTTGCTGGAAGAAAATGTATTCCTATTTTGCGAAATTATAAATAACGTCAGCTGGCGTTGCGTGCAAACAAAACCTTAAAAGCGCCCACCATAAGAGCTCTCGATGTAGAAGTATGCTGTAGATGGTCTATTGCGATTTTGTACTCTGGTCTAATGAAGTAGATATAAGAACTGCTTTTGAAGCGTGTGAAGCACCCGACTATTGCGACCGCCAGCAAGACCTCAGGCTACTTAAGCCGGTTATTCTCGCGAAGCACGATCACAGAACGCGATAGTTGGCGAGACAGCCGTCAGCGTTAGGCCATCGCGTCGGCACCTCTTTCCAGGTTTATCTGGGAACCAGCGCTTCTGCACATGATGCATCATGGCACAGATGCATCATGCCCTCAACCACCACATCAGCCCTCAATCACCGCATCTGCTGAGGAACATGCCCGAGCCCTCAACCACCACATCTGCTGAGGGACATGCCCGAGCCCTTTAACCACCACCTCACCCACTGACGAGCATGCCCGAGCCCTCAACCACCACATCTGCTGAGGGACATGCCCGAGCCCTCAACCACCTCACCCACTGACGAGCATGCCCGAGCCACAACCACTACATCTGCTGAGGGACATGCCCGAGCCCTCAACCACCACATGTGCTGAGCAACATGCCCCACCGCTCGACTTGTGTACAGCTCCCGCACACCACGCACCGTTCAATAGGCTGCTCCACAGCCGATAGCTATGGAAGAGCACTGTATGCAATTAAGGTCACGCGATCGTACTAAAAAATTGTCGCCACGGAGAAAGCAGCAAACGGCGTCACGGTCAGGCGACGACCATCAGCTAAACAGGCTTTGTCCTTGCACTGTGGAGCCAAGCTAAGGCGATATCGGTGTCGTGCTATCGGTGAGACGTTGGCCGTGTTGTGCTATCGGCGGCCCGCAGGGGTGATGGATTGCCCCATGAGCACACTGTAGATGGCCTGTTGCGATTATGTACCAGGGCTAATGAAGTAGACATAGAGCTGCTATCAAATATTTAGAGAAACATTTCGGGGACGTGTATTACTGCCGTGGGGAGATGTCGAAATATCGATGATTGATCGGCTCGAGCTCGGGGTTAGACAAATAACAGCCAATGGTATTCAGCTGCATTTTTATTGCTTTTGCATGATAAAGCGCATACACTTACACGTTTTGTAACTACGTTAGACGGCTGGAAAATTGGTCAACTTTTGTTTTTATTTTAACATTTACTTTGGCAATCTGAAACCCTTTTGTGGACAACCTATTGCAAAGTGGCATCAGGTTTGATTTAGAGTCGCAGGCAGGTCAGCGCTGTTGCCAACGCCTCTCAGGGGCGTATATCTGGCGCGTCAGATGGTTCGCAAAAGCGCATGCCCAGAAGTTGCATTTTCCAGACTTCTGCATGGTACACATCCACGATTGTTTTGCTCCTCTATTCAAATGGATGAACAAATGTCACTTTCATTTCTGCTAGAGACACTGGGAGCCCCCGCGCCTCTCCCCTCAAACATTGACGCCAGTGGTGAATCGAGGAGACACTTTTGGTTTGTACCCCCTCCCCCTCTCTTTGGGTCATGAGGATTTCGGTGCTCCGAAGAGCATCGAAATCTAACGTGAAAGGTCATCAAAATTTTCGTTTCGTGGCCCAGTAGTGTATATTTTTAAGGAACACCTAATTCCAGACAGACTGTAAGGATACCAAACCGTCACTTTTTTGGAGGCATCGTATCTCAAATATTCCACCATGTCTGTACCTCTCTGTTAACAAAGTGATGCTTTGGCCCATGTGCAAAGGGGTACTTGGGTGTCAGGTTGATGTTTTAGGGTCTTGTGTAATCCTAGACCCGCCCCTGTTTGGCACACCCTCGAACAGTTGCATAATCAGTCAGCTGTTTACAATGTCCATTTAATTGCCGGCCAAGCCATTCGAAAACAAAGTCGGCACTATTACCAAGGGAAATAAAGGGATTCATCGTCACCACTTGGCTGCAAACGTAGCTTTCTTCAGCTTGCGTGCCTGTCGAAAAAATTGGGCGTTTACAATGCTGGGGCGAGCTTCTGAAATAATAGTGGCGTAGTCAGTTATTCACCAAGCACTGGTACCGAATACCAAATTCCGCACGCGAAAAGCTAACGCAACACAGTTGAAACTAAAACGTGCTCATCCCTGGCATTTTGACATGGCCATAAGCGGAGATTATGGCACGGCAGGTTGGTAGCGATGGCCACAACTTGAATGTCGGTGTAACATGACCGCAGCAGCTCTCATAAAGAACCCCGCGCGTGACAAGTACCAATATTTGGCAGTTACATGCATAGTTTACTGGTTATGCTCATAACAATATGTGTATGCAATGTTCATTGCTGATTGTACATGACAAGCTTGGCGGGACTTCAAACATTAAGTGCTAGCAGGGAATGAATTCAAGTTCGATCCTAGACATGGAAGAAAGTAAAACGTCATCGAAGACGTGATGGAAAATTCTGAGTATACACAGAGCACTACAAGGTGCAAATATCACTAAACCCGACGAATACGCATTGACGCCGCTCTTTTTCCTACTACTCAGGTACAAAAAACGCGATCGAGGTTTGAAGTGGATTGGCCATTAACCAGTCAACAGTTCCACAAAGTATGAATTGTATCTGTCGTACAAAAAAAGCGTGCATGACCTCAGAAATGACCTGCAGGTGAAGTGACAAGCCACTGGACTCGGCAGCATAGCACGTATATAGCTCATCTGTTTATCGGGGACGCAGCGGCCTCACCATCTCATAGCCAACTCTTTTTAGACGGAATAAATTTCCGGATATGTATGTATACCATGTCAGTGGAAATGAGACGTAACCATGTAGACCGATTTTTTACATCACCCACAAGTGCCTCAACCTACCTTGGTTGTTTGTTATTGACGTCCTTCTAAGTGAGGGGCGACCGGCATGTTAACAATACAAATTCAACCCCAACTTCGATCAATATAACCGACATCGTATTTATTGCGCCAGCTATGCATACATCGCATTTGTTGTATCAGCTGTGCATACATCGCATCTATTGCATCAGCTGTGCATACATCGTATTTATTGCATCAGTTGTGCATTCTTTGCATACCGACCACATAGAGTCTTGATGATTTCAAACCCACATAAAAACAAAGGCGGACGGACCTCCGTAACCGTGATGACGCTGATCGATCAGGTACACCTCAAAACTATGAGGAAATCATGTATTAAATATTAAGGCGCTCTATCAGTCTCAAGTTATGTATATACTGCCACACAGCTGGATTTAAATCATGTACATAACTTTGGAATTAATGTTTTGAGCTTACAGGTACTCTTTCGGTCGGCAATGGAATGTTGTGTAGCCCGTGCATCAGCACGGGTAAATGTCTGTAGACATAGTTTATGACAGCATGACACACATTGGCCTTTCTCGCGCTAGTCTCATTATGGTTTAATGATCGAACATTTTGTTTTTCAAGCTATTAGATGAGACTGAGCCAAGCCTAATCACCCAAAGAAATCAAATAGAGGGATCATGAAACGATGTTGAGCCCAACTGTGACGAGAATATGACCATCGTTTCAAAAAGGAAAGCATAGGAGACCATAGGATTGAATCCTTTCCGTGTTAAGCGAGGCAAGAGCTGGTAGACAAATACTGCTGGAAGGTAAAGTATTGAATTTTCTTTTGGGGGAAAATTTCCGTATTTTGGGCACACTTTTATTTCTGGGTTATAATCAAGCATCCAATGCTGATACAACCATACTTGTTAAGTCTTATGTTCCAACTTGGGACAACCTAGAACGGTCCATAAACAAACGTGTTCTGGACTCAGTCCATAAGTATTCTGTGTGGGCCAAAATTTCCGAAATAAACTGTGGTAAACTACTCCACAGCTGTACCTTAAAGGCTGAGACCTTATCTATCAACTATTGCTTAATGCATTAACAATGGTATGAACAGAAGGCAGGCCATTGCTTGTCGTAGGCATCAAAATAACTGGTAGATTGTGTTACGGAAGCGTTTTTGAACTGCGATCATGCGTAACCGTTAATCGTTTTACGTTTCTAAATTTGATACCATGAGACCGAATCATCAAGTGTCGTGCACGTAACGCAACGAACATGTGCATGATGACAAACAAAATGCTTCCGAGATATGAGTTTCTGGTTACTTTGATAAACCTACTCGTATTCAAAGGTATTCTGTTTATCCTCGCGTTCGTGAATATCTGGCATCGTACCATATTCGGTAGATGTTCAGTTACGGCCACATGTTACGACGTAAGGCCTATTAAAATGTCGTTTGATTTATTTAGAAACAGCCACGGCAAATCTGTTTTAACAAAAACAACACTGGTGTTTTTCGAGGACGCAAAATGAGGCTGTC